GTTGAAAATTGATATCAGAAGAAAACTCTAGATTTCTCTGATTTCATCACTGAATAACTAGAGGTCATTAAATGTTCCCTGCAAAGATTTTTAATTCTAGTATTCAAAATCAGAAAAAAAAACCATTATTTTCTTCCCAGATACAGATGCAAACGGAAATAAAACACAGCTGCTCTTATCTCTCCATGGCACCATCTCTTCTTGATACCGAGAGAGATAATGATCTTGCAGTGTAATTTTATAAGGAGGTAACAAAATCAATTACATTACTCAAGTGTAAACACTGCAGGCCTTATCCCATTGCTGGTTAAGATAGGCTATAACTGTGGCAGCTGCTCACTCCCATTATAGATTATTTTAGATGAAAGAAAACATTGACTAATAAATGAAGATTTGACAATGTAGGAGTGTAGATGGTCTTACAGCTTGATACTCAAGAATGAAACCAGCAATTCAATTGTTGGATGAAAAGTCAGCACAAAACAGCCAGGGATGCGAGTGAAGGCAGAGATGGGCAAATCACTTGATTCGTTTTCTATAATTAAATGGTAAAGTCTTCACAAAAGCATGAACAAATCTGCAAACCCTTTGGGTCCATGAAGTTTCATGTGATCTTATACAATATTATGAACCATAAAAAAAGGCTAAGAAGAAATTCAGGACACTATTGAGATATGTTGTTTTCATAATTGTAATAACTGTGCGATTAATATGATCCCTTCCAAGGTATGGTGATTAGATAATCGAGGTGATTAAATCTTTTGTTGTTACAGAACCTAAACTTTATATAAAAGATTAATTTAAATTTATAGACATACAAGCCCATCAAAGAAAATCAATAATTATGAAACTCTATAACCAAGGCCATAAGATTTTAGAGCCAGACAAATCTGCATTATAAACTCCACACCGATGCAAGCTGAGTGACCTCGGATAAGTTACTTAGCTAAATCTCTCAGAATAATCACACCTACCAGATAGGGTCATGGTGAGTACTAAACAACATAATGGTACTAAAATTGTATTTAGCACATGACAAACACTTGTTGATAAATGATAAGAATCTTTCTTTGTTTCTTTTCTTCTTTAAATTTAACATAGTTCTTTTCTCTCTATCTGAAATAAGATATTTATTTAAGCTTGATCCACTGGCTCTGTACTATTTATCCTAATTTATCTTACAATGTTTAGGTTGGTCTCTGTATATCTTAAAATTAACACGCATTTTTAACATTAGCACTTTGTCCAAAAGGAACGTCATTTCAAGTAACCCTCGTTTTTCATCACTAACCTAAGAAGGTTGGCAAGGTTAACCATAGTCTATTTAATCAATACAAAAATACCTAAAGTCTTTAAAAATTAACAAGCAACAATGATATGATGTAATTTCATACTTGTTTTTCCTTGTCTCATTTCCTCTAAATTTTTCATTACCTTATATTTTAAATAAAGCAAAATCTGACTCATGGTTGGCATCTAATAAGTGTTTGTTGAATAAGAGGAAAAGAAATAAATATTTTAATTGTGACCAAAGTCAATGGCTTCTCCATGGAGGCTGAAAAGAGACCTTAATTAAATTGCCCAGGTTAGAAAAATATTCCGCCGCTTGCTTTTCTTACAAGAATGCAAAATTATTTGGATTAATTTCTTGGGATAGGGGAAGAGTTAAGGAAATTAAATTATAAGGGGAGGCTGAACAATTTTATGGCATCTTTTATCTACAATTAGGATTTTAGTGTTAAAGGGACCTTGAAGATGAAATGGCACAGACTCCTTAATTTACAGATGAGGAAACCAAGACCTTGGGAGTTTCCATGGCTTCATCCTGTGATGTCTGAGCTGCAGGAGTCCATTTCTTTGCATTAGAGTTAGCTCCTAAAGGGTCTTGCCCCAGGGTACTTGTTTATCTTAATACTTCTGTCTATTCCAGGGTACTTATGTATCTACAAAAAATAGACAGTAAGATAAAGCCTGTGGTTGAGAACACTGGCCTTTGGGTCAGAGAAACCTGAATTCAAATCTCTTCTCTACCATTTACTAACTGTGTGACCTTGTACAGCTGTGGTCCCCAGCCCCCTGGCCACGGACAGGTACCAATCCGTGGCCTGTTAGGAACTGGATCACACAGCAGGAGGTGAGCAGTGGAGGTGAGCAGCTAGCGGAAGCTTCACCTGTATTTACAGCCACTCCCGATTGCTGGCATCACGGCCTGAGCTCCGCCTCCTGTCACGTCACTGGTGGCATTAGATTCTCATAGGAGCACGAACCCTACTGTACACTGCATATGCGAGGGAGCTAGGTTGTGCGTTCTATGTCAGAATCAAATGCCTGATGATCTGAGGTAGAGCCAAGGCATGACCCTAGTACTGGGGAGTGGCTGCAAATACAGATTATCATTAGCAGAGAGGTTTGACTGTGCAGAGACCATATAAAATTGCTTGCGGGCTCATATCAAAACCCTATCAGTGAGTGGCAAGTGACAAGCTGCATCTGGTGGCAGGCTTTATGGTGGCAAGTGAGTTGATGTACTGTAATTGTATATCTGCATCTGGTGGCAGGCTTTAAGTCAGAACTTAACACTTATTTTAGTCCATGCATGGCCCGCCCAATATTTTATTTACCTATTCCACCCACGCCTCTCTCCTGCACTGCGTACTTGCCTCAGTTACAGTTTTGGTAAGCCCACAAGCTAACCCTAGCAAAAATGAGTAAAAAACAAACATCGCTTGAGAGCTTCTTTGAAAAGGGGGAAAGACCCAACGATGAGACAGCAGAAGACTCTAAGACTGCCAACAAAATGATGCTGCATTTAAAAGAAAATACCAAGAGTCCTACTTAAATTATGGGTTCATTGCAACAGGTGATTCACATTCTCTAAGTCCGATTTTTATAATATGTGGTGGCCAACTGTCCAATGAAGCCATGAAACCTTTAAAACTGCTTTGCCACATGGATACCAAGCACCCTGCATTAAAATACAAGTCTTTCAAGTTTTTCAAAAGGAAAAAAGTGAACACGAAGAACAGAAGCAATTATTGAAGGCCACCACTTCATCAACTGTGTCTGCACTGAGAGCATCATGCTTAGTGGCTAACCGCATTGCTGAAGCTAAGAAGCCCTTTACTATTGGTGAAGAGTTGATCCTGCCTGCTGCTAAGGACATTTACTATGAACTTTTAGGAGAGGCTGCAGTTCAAAAGGTGGCACATGTTCCTCTTTTGGCTAGCACTGTAACTAAATGAATTGATGAAATAGAGGATATTGAGGCACAATTGTTAGAGAGGATTAATGAGTCACCATGGTACGAGATCCAGGTTGACGAGTCTACCAATGTTGACAGCAAGGCAACAATACTTGTTTTTGTGCAATATACATATATCTGGCCAACCAGGACCGGCCTCCTTCACTTCTATCTTTGAATTTGCAAACAAGGTCTTCTCCTAGCAGACATAGCAGGACAGGTTATACAGACCTGTTGAGTTATGGTAAGGGCTGCCCACGTTTGCCTAAGACTCTTTCTTAGTTAGCATTTCCCACATAGCCACCCAGCTTTTCCATAGCACCTGTGGGAGAGAACCCAGCTAAGTGTTCTCCCTCAGCATATTCCATTCTCAGGAAGCTCAAGACCTGGGAAGAGGCCAGGGATGAACGTGGGGTTATGTAGCTTATTTCCCTCACCCACATCAGGCGCTCCTCAATCACAGGGTCCCACCCTCCTCATTCGTCTTCACATTTTCGTCCATTGCATCTCACACATGGTGGACGCTCAGTAAATATCTGTGATTCGTAGTCATAGATGAACATGTGCCAAAGAGTTATTGGTCTGAGAGTCCTTTCGTTTTACGGCCTGGCTGTAATAGAGAGATTATTTCTACATCAGGCAATATAGACTTTTCATCCAACTCTGATGACAGCATGCAAAGCTTAAGTCTCATTATTTTACATGAAAAATAAAATCTATATGAACTCTTCTGCCTTGAGTACTGATGTGCAACGACTTGTGTTATTAAATGTCAGAATGAAATAGAACCAGTTTTCCTTAAAATAGGAGAGAAGTATAATTCTAGCACCTCAGGTATTTTTCAGAACAGGTGTATTAATCATTTTCTTTTCAAGACATGTACGTCAGTATACCTCATGCAAAGTCGTGGCCAAAATCTCACATCTCAAAGAGGTAATATACACTTTGCTTGGAATATTACCTACAGAGAAAATGTAGAAAGGTTATGCTGTCATAAAAATATTTCTAAATCTGCATGTTGAGATATATGAAATACCCTAAATTTTTTTTAGGAAATATTTAGAGTTGCTTATTTTACACGATACTTTGTCTTTATCTGTATTTATTACAGGTAAGGATCAATTTCTTTCTCTGAATAAGCATTCCCAAACCAATCTCCCTGGAATCTCTCCTCACTTACCCAAGTTAATAAAATTGGATGAGAGAAATGTTGGCATTTATTCACTATGGTGTTTCTTTTCCTTTCTTGTTTGAAGTTAAGTGCTTTATTCCATTTTAATGTACAAGCTATGAATCCTTTAAATGTTGAACAGGAACATCAATTAAAAGATTGGGCTGGGCATGGTGGCTCACGCCTGTAATCCTGGCACTTTGGGAGGTCGAGGCAGGAGGATTGCTTGAGGCTGGGAGTTTGAGACCAGCCTGAGCAAGAGTGAGACGCTGTCTCTATGAAAAATAGAAAAATTAGCCAGGTGGGTGTCACACGCTTATAGTCCAAGCTACTTAGGAGGCTGAGGCAGGAGGATCGCTTGAGCCCAGGAGTTTGAGGTTGCAGTGACCTATTATGATGCCACTGCACTCTAGCCTGGGTGGCAGAACAAGACCCTGTCTTAAAAAAAAAAGATTGGGATAACTGAGGCTCACCCAGAGCTAGTTGACTTGCTTCCCTCTGCTGTACCTAAGCCTAGATTCAAATTGGGTAGTAGGGGTTTATTTGACCAAAATAAAAAGCCTTTGTAACCCTTTTCTTCTTTCCTAGTCCCTCTGCTTTTACTCTATCCAAAGTTAACATGTCGCTGAAAAATGAGCCAAGGGTAAATACCTCTGCACTGCAGAAAATTGCTGCCGACATGAGTAATCTGATAGAAAATCTGGACACGCGGGAACTCCACTTTGAGGGAGAGGAGGTGGAATATGATGTGTCTCCCGGCGATCCCAAGACACAGGAAGGTAAAGACTGATGATCTGAGGAGGAAGAAAAGAGTTCATTGGGGTTGGCTGGCAGAGCACAAATTTGAAATAACCAGCAAATGATTGGTATTCCTTGCAGGTATCATATCATAACACTGGGGTGAGATAGTTTTATAAGAGGCTTACTTGTTTTAACACATTATGATTGTTAAAAGAATGCCTCTAAAAGGCAAGTTATGCTGATATCACATATTGCAATAACTTTATTTACTTATTTTTTAGTGTATATCCCTTTCTCTGCTATCTATAACACTCAAGGATTTAAGGAGCCTAATATACAGACGTATCTCTCCGGCTGTCCAATAAAAGCACAAGTTCTGGAAGTGGAACGCTTGACATCTACAACAAGGGTCAGCGTTTATGGTCTCCCTTTTTATTTGTCAGTATATGTGGATTAGTAAATTGCCTTCATTTTCCTTCTTCCTAGCTATGACCATATTTTTTAGGTTTTTGTTTGTTTTTCTATCACTTCTAAGTCCTTATCACCTCCCAAGTTTTGCTTCCTTCCCATTTTATCTTTATTCTCATACTCCTCTTCTTTCATTCTGGACAATACTCTTTGTTTTTAAAAGACATTTAAGGCAACTTATCGGTTTAATAAGTTGCAAAGTGCCTCTCCTAATCCTCTTCTCTCCCCAATTTTCTGTTTCATTTGGATACCTGAGGCATGTTCATTCCACCTAGAACGGCAGGTATAAGTCAAGGAAAAGTTTAGTGTTGCTAATGCGTGTTTAGCAAGAAAATGTTGGTGTTACCTGGCTCTTAAAAGAAAAAAAAAAGCCAGGATGCTGGATCGGCCAGTGCCGTTACCCAGAAGTACTGCTAAGAGAATTCTGCTGGCATACGCTGCCTCTGTGACTTGCTCCTAGAACCCCAGCCCTTAGTCCTCGTTCAAATGTTTTTTCACTGGACACTGAAAAGGTGCTGGAGTAAAACGTCTCCAACAGGCACAGCTATGCCCTTTGAAATGGACTGGAGTCGGAGAAGCTATTGGGTAGTTATGTTTGCTCAGTTCCTGCCTGGATTTCACACTTGTCAAGTCTGAAGGCGTTGTCAACGTTGCTGCAGGGTGGTGGCCTTTGTCCCTTCAGGTTAAGCTCTAACCCTGGTAGAGTAAGGCCACTATTGTCTGCTGCCTCAGCCAATAATAATAATAACCTCCTGTCGGGCAGGCTTTGCCTTCCCTGCCTCCTTGCAATTTGGAAGGTGGCTTGTGCTGCCCTGTTTTCCTGATAGTTTTGCCGGATACTGTCCTGACTTACCTGTACGTGTGCTGACTCCCAATTACTCCCACGGTGATGTCCAGCCTTTGCCTTGGGCTTTTCTTATGAGTTGTGTCCATGTCTCCCTGATACACCACTGAGCACAACCTAGCCTGGAAGTTCTCTAAAATGACCTTTGTCTTCTTACTTTGCCGACCAGCTTTTAGATTGAGAGGCAATAATGTGTGGGGTTAAAGGCACAGACTCTAGAGCATGACTGCATGGTTTAATTCCAGTCTTTGCTTTGTGATCTCGAGAAAGTTATTCAACCTTTGTTTCTCAGTTTCCTCATCTGAATAATGGGTATAGTAGTGCTTATCTTATAGGTTTGTTATAAGGATTTAATAATAATATGTAATATTATATTATACAAGTATGCCATATATACTCATTACTACGGCACGTTCCTCCACCTACCCTTCCTGAACACAGTGCTGCCTCAAGGTAGGGGGGCAAGGCTGGACCTTGAAATGTGTTTCAGAAGTAGAAGGGGAAGAGGCATGTCATGCCATTTGTGAAGGACAAAAAGGGCCAATATAGTGTTCCTAGCATCCATTGCCTCCTGCTTCTCTGTCACCCCCACCAATTGCCTGTTCACGCCTTATGTTTGTGGACTAGACCCCTGAAGGCTAACTAGGGTCTTCACTCATTGTCTCCTTTACCTGGTTTCTGGTTTCAGGTATGTGCATGTATGTTAGAGGGATAGGATTTGTAGTAGTTTGTCTTTGTCTTTGTTGTGATTCAAAATTTGTCTTAGGTAATTAATCGGGTGAACATTTAAGAGAATATTATTTATGTAATCAGTTGTTTTTGAAAAAAATTGCTTAAGTACTTACATAAAATAAGTAAGCTAGACTTAAGTATACTTCCATGTTACTTATTAATTAACTGTTGTTCATTGAGAGCTTTGGAATTTTTGTTGTTATCTAAAATACCAACGATTTTTATTTATCACTGTAGCTACCAAGTATCAATCTTTATACTATTGAATTAACACATGGAGAATTTAAATGGCAAGTTAAGAGGAAATTCAAGCACTTTCAAGAATTTCACAGAGAGCTGCTTAAGTACAAAGCCTTTATCCGAATCCCCATTCCCACCAGAAGGTAACTGTTTCAGAATTAATTATAAAGTTATCCTGGTATATAAGTTGGATGGAAAGTGTGTTTCATTCATATTATAATCTAACTAGTCCATTGTTGGTAGATATTTTTAATTAAATAGGCTCTTTTAAAAATAAGCCATATCATGAAAAATATTACAAAAATCGCAGTCCAAAAATAATCTAATAAATATTTGCATTGTATGTGCGTGTTTTAGACACACATTTAGAAGACAAAATGTTAAAATGTTAAAGGGGGAGGAGCCCCGAGAGATGCCCAGTTTGCCCCGTTCATCTGAAAACCAGATTAGAGAAGAACAATTCTCTGGTAGAAGGGTAAGTCCTTTCACTGTTCTGTTGTTTTGAACATAATTTTGCAGCACTGTATGCAGCGCTGTAGAAACACATCATCTACCGAGAGGTGGAGTAGGTCTGGCTGCAACTTCTCCCACTCACTGCTCAATCACTCAGCCTGGTTTGGTTTTTCTGGAACTGCTTAGACATCCCCTTCTTCCCTAAGTCATGGAGAGACTGCATTTTTCTAGAAGAGGAAGAGTGTTCTTTGTTAGAGCTTAAGTTGTGAAGAAGCTGCCCTCCTTGCAGGAACCTCCTGGGCTTGTTGTGAGTCAAAGATTGAACTCATTGTTGTGGGTTTTGAGATCTACCTTTTAAAATCATATAATTCCATACATTTGCTTCAGTATCTGTAGTAACTCATCTGAAATATATGTAAAACCTCATTCCTGAACTGTGGATGGGACAGTCTGGGTCTGAGGAGGGCGGGAGGGAGCACGGACATACGGAGCACCAGGACAGAAGGCACAGGAGGAGGGACACTTCTGCCCGCTCCGCTTCAGTGACTGGCTCTGTATAGGGTGGAAGATTTTCTTTTTTTTACTAGAAAATTAACAAGTAATCTGTTAATTTTTGTTAGCTCTGTTTTGTAATCTGAAACTTTCATGTTTCAAAGAGAATGTTTGATTTCTCCTTTGTGGTTGTCATCTTGTTTAAAATCTTTTCAGGAGTCTGGACCAAGTATTTTCCAAGGTACCTAGACATATAAAATTACACAGTTTGGGGTTAGTATGTGCACGTATGTGAGTTCAACTGAAAATGACTATGGCTGTTAACACTTAGTGACTCAGCAAAAAGATGTTGGATTTTGTATCATGGTCAATATGATTGACAGATATTGCTCTACAGCCCCAAGCTTTATTTCTCCCCTCCCCATACACACACACAGACACAAACACATTTTAACATATTTAAAAATACATAAAATTAAGTACATTTTGCTGGAAAAGTTTTTTCTTTTAACTTCTTCCCTTTTTTCCTGAAAGGCAGTATATAGTATATCCTCCAGTAAATTTAATGTTAGAGTAGAAAAAAATACAAGTTTTTGGTAAAATCAACAAATGATTTAAAACTACCTACTATGGGCAAGTCCTGTTCTAATAGCTATGGAGGATTAAAAGAATATATAGCTCAGGGCTGGTCAGCAGTTCATAGAAAACCTAAGCATGCAGAAAGTTAAATAGCGAGAAGAGATTTAAATAATAGTTCAAGAGAACTATGGAAGTCACACCTTAAGGTATTCAGGATTCCTTTTCCAATGATTATATTAATCAATAATTGAATAACTTACAGAAGTTAAGATGAAATGATGATCTCATATTGTCACTGCTGTTTGGTTTTTTAATAAATATGACCCTGTTAACCATTACCTAAAATATTTGCATTACAGAAACAACTGGAAGATTACTTGACAAAGATACTAAAAATGCCCATGTACAAAAACTATCATGCCACAGTAAGTACTAGTGAGTGATTTAACTTTGAAGTAATTTGTAAGGTAGTAAATTGACAGCAAAATTTCGGATCATTTTTTTAACAGAAGTGCTTGTATCCACATGTACATTATTCCTTGAATTAAAATAAATTAAATGAATACAAAATTGGTTTGACAGCAAGGATTCAGTCTACGGTGATATGATGCTATTTTAAAAATTTTGAATAGAACTTAATATGTCTATAACGGTAAATTTAAATGAACTTGAAATGCTACTGTAGGCTAGATTATCTAGAAATCAACCCTCTTCTCTCCTCAGGCTTCAAGAATAATGCCAAAAAGCATTTCTAGCTCCAAAGAACAAATGTTGAGCAGTAAGTGATGAAAACAGTTGGGCAGAGTTGAATGCCCAAAGATTATGTGGCACAGGGCGGTCACCATCTGATTGGCCTGTGATGCCTGTGAAAGGCCTGTCTTTTTTTTCTTTTTTCCTTTTTTCTTTTTTTTTATTTTTGAGACAGGGTCTTGCTCTGTTGCCTGGGGCTAGAGTGCAGAGGCATCATCACAGCTCACTGCAACCTCAAATTCCTGGGCTCCAGCCATCCTCCTAAGGCCTGTCTTTTCATGTGAAAGTGAGAAGCATGGGAAAAGCTGGGGAAAGGAAAAATTTCTGAGAAATCCGAGAAGAGAGAAAAGAGGTGGTGGGGCTTAGAAGAGCCACAGAGATTAAGCTTGGGAGGCACACAGCGGGCAAGCAGGAGGGAGTGGAGTTTGCAGTGTCAGCAAACAATGAGCTCTGCCCTCTTAGAGGCCCTTGAAGGGGGGGTGGGGGGCGGAGGGAATGTTTCTAAAGGGTTAGTCTTCAATTATCCAGAGGTCTGGATAACTGAGAATACACTAGATTATTATATTTGTGTCTGCATATATATAACCCGTGTTGCCGTGGGGGTTGTATGTATGCATACTGTGTATGTGCAGAACTCAGGAGTTGGTAGAGTGTATTTGGCCTCTAATGTAGAGAATGGCACCACATGAACACATAAACAGAAAGAGGGAAGACCTTGGTGTATTTTGGAGAGAAAGGGAGAGTGCCCTGGCTCTGCAGAGTTTCTGGAGCAGGAGCTGCCCTCCTGCAGCGTATTATTCGGAGGCTGGTCCAAATATGCATCCAGCTGGCTCCCTTCATACACAGCTGACCTTGGTCCAACCATGGCCTGCCTTCTGTAGCAGCTTGGCTGGAATGTTCGATGGACTTCAAGGAGCTTCTTGATCCTAGAAATGAGTTTTCTCAGAAAAATAGGAATTTGAGTTCAACCAGAGGATCTCAAGAGAAGGACAATAGGAGGGGTTTCTCCCCTTCTATTAATAGAACACGGAAACTCTCAGGGAACTCGTATCATTGAAATAATACAATGAATAAGGATACTACTGCTATTGTTTTTAAAAATGCTGCCTCCCATTGCATTCTCTGAAATCCGACATGCTGTTTTCTCTAATAGAGAATTATTAAAATGTGGTCTAATACCCATATGCAATAATTTTCCTTTTCTTTTACTTTTCTGCCTTCCTGTGACTTTACTTTTACTATTTCTTTTGGCTTTAGAACAGTACTTGGTGAGTTCACTCTTCTCTTTCCATGTATGTTACTACATTTTGGATTCTAATGTTGACCAAAGGATGTTTACATTGTTAAAATGTTCATTTTAATTACTTTTCCAGTCATAAAAATCTTTTCAGAGTGAAGCCGTATTGTATTTAGAAATCCTTGAGTGCTTTATAGACATTTCCTTTGGACAGGAAATGGCCTCTCTGGCAACTGGCTGAATAGATTTTCCCCTCATTTTCGATGCCTACGGAGATTATTCTCTCCAGAGCTGAATTCTCCAAATGATTCAAGCATAGGATACAATTTGATATATTTTATTTCTCTAACATTTTCCTTTCACACTCCATGTAACCTGACCTCATATTTGTGAAATTAGATTGGCATCTGTGTATTTTCTTCAATAATTGTGAGAACTATTAAAAATCCCATCGGCAAAAAGCACATTAAAAAGTTATTTTTACATATACATATATAATAAATTTATACTTTATAAGTATAAAACAAACCTATTTTAAATTCATTCAGGTCCTTAAACAGATAGAATCATTGATCACAGGTCAAGGGCCTGGATAGGATATGTCCTTAATCTCTATGGGACCACCCAGATCTGTGCTTGGAATATGTGCATTTACCAAATAGCTCACGTGATTCTTATCATCAGGAGAGTTCGAAAATTAAAATAAAATGTTATGGTCAGCTTAGAAATGTCTTGGTAAAGTTGGACCACTTTAAGAAGTAGAGATAGATTTATTATTACAGTATTTGTATAATAGGATTTTCTCAAAAGGAATTGGGTTTAGACTTCAAAGCACTGACCGTTTATTTTTCTTAATGTCTTTTGAAATTAGACATGAACAGTTTTTTTCCTCTCACTTTTATATAGTCATTGGTTTGGTTTGTACCCAGACAACTACCTTTTCTTCCAGGATTATGAGGACTTCCTTTGTTTTTAATTCCTTTTTTTCCTTCTTGTGAGAGTATCCAGGAGTTTTAGTGTGTTGAGCATCAGTTTCCCCAGTGATTATTGGTAATTCATTCAGTTTTCTTTGCTCATTTGTAAAATTGGGAAAAATATATTTCACCTTTTCCCTAAGCATAAATATGTAAAAAAATTATATAGCAATATCTGAGTTGTACAATAACATAAAAAGAAATCTCAAACAGGAATTCCTTTTGTGTTCTGAAATTGTACGAGTGGTGTCCGCAGTCAAGAGCCCACTAGCTAGGCATCTTAATTAGTGACTGGAAAATGCTATCTTCCAGGGAATTAAAAGGAGGAGGAATAAGAAATAGAAAATATGCTTTTTTTCTTACTTAAGATTAAAATCTAGAAATGGAACAAAATGCACAATTTCCAAGAGAAGGGCCCTAAACAGATAGGCCATATCCCTAACTTGAAATAAATAATTTAACTCCCTCCTATACTCAGATTCCTTATTTCCAAAATGGTGATTAGCTTGAAATCTTAATACAACATCCCACAGATCAATAATATTGAGTTCACCTCACCCTTGTTTTGTAGGATGAATAACTTTAACGAAGGAAAGAGTAGGTAAAGAATAAAGATGCACACAGTGTTTCCATTCCAGCAGAGAAAAGCTGTAGGGAGAGACCCTGGGCCTTTGTCCAGCCTCCCAGTTTCCTCCATAGATTAGATACCTTCTTCGTTCCCTGCCTTTCCTGGAATACCAAAGTCCACCTTCCACCCTTACTACCAGGGAATTGCCCAACCCAATACTCTTGTCTTCCTCATTGGAAGATAATTTGGATAACTTCCAACTTGGCCACTCGCTTGAATTTTAGCTACCTGACAAATAAAAGGAGCTTTTGAAAGTCACTCTCCCTTTATAGTACAAAGATGAGTGGAAGGGCAGTGTGTACAGGATTACCAAGAAATTACTGCAGTGCGTTGCTTGTCTCTTGGCATGGAAACTTTTTTGCTTCTCTATTTCTCTAACTTTTTTAGCATCCAATTGGTAAGTCACATTGTAACTTTTTACTTGAGACCACTTTCCACCTAGTGCCAAGAACATTATTAAATTGATTTTTCACAAATTCCTTTGCCAAAAAACAAAGACAAAAAGGTATTTATTAGCACATTACTCAAGACATCAATGGAATAAGCCCTGTGAAATACTCTTAGACTAAATTGATCTTTAAATTCTTATTCCTGAGAATCACCTGCCCAAATGGAGAATGGAACTCTTATCACTCAGTAGTTTCGACAACACGATCTTCATCAGATTTCAAAATTTTAAATTGGTTTTGCCTCTCAGTTGACTTTGACACATTTACTTTCAATTTGATGAATTTGTTTTAGAACAACATTTATTGCCAGAGATTTTTTTTTTCTATAATAGGGCTAGTTCCTTCTTGAAATCTCTTTTTAGTCAAACTTTACTAAGACATTAGGATAAATTAACTTTCATATTAATGTGTAATTTTTAATTTTCTATATTACTAATGTATGATTTTTTATGGAGATGAAATTCTTTACATTTAGCAATTTTGTTATGGTATTCTAAAGTTATGATTTCAGAGACTATTTCTGTTGTCAACTATTTGATGATAAGAGCTATGTGAATAAGAAAATATCCAGATATTAGATAAGTGGTTTCCTTGAT